GCAAGTGGTCGTAATGAATGAGTCGAATGGTTGCGGATACCGGAAAACGTGATTTTTAACAAACACTTGTAGACCTCACTTTCCTCGTAAGTTGTTTGTTTATTTTCAGACCACACCGGATAACGTGAATTCAAAGGTGAGTGAAGCGCAAAGCCCTCTTCCTGTACTCAAGAGTCAGCATTGTCTAGTCAAATGTTGTTCAATAGTCAACATCGTTCGTCGTCTTTTCAGGCAAAAAACCAAACATACACTCAAACTACGATCCAACAGTATACTATTCCTCTTGAGCATCACTATGACCGACCTCTCCCCTTCTCAAGGCGGTGTCATTTTGTAACTTTCATTTGTCATGTTTCAGGTCAACGGTCCTTCACGCACAAAAATAGAATTTTAAATGTTTATAAAATGCTCGTAAATTCGTCACTTGTCTTTTCACACCATGATCAACTATTTCAGTCATTTAATTGACGCTGGACAGGTTTTAACAGTGAATCACATGCAGCAGTTATGTGACCCAAAAAATTTCACTCTCAATTTTGCTGTCGTCATTTGACAATAGTGGTCGTGACAGTTGCCATGTTTTTTTCTGAGGGAAGAAAACAAAGTGTACAACGGTGAAAATTGTTGCCATACCGGATGTCTAGGTCTTGACCAGACTCAATGATGACGCACTGGTTGCTACTTTTTTGTCAGCGTAGGTCATCCATCAGGCATCGTCTGGTTTATCATCTTTTACTTTGTTTAGAAGGTACATGCAATTTTAACCATTATATTATTGGATACCAGCGGACTGAAGAACAGGTGTACAATACCCCTGTTCAAGATGGTACACCACAGGGAGTGCTTCAATTATCGGGGTATTATCTCATTGAGTCTCCCGGGAAAAGTCTACCTACACGTGCTAGGTAAGATGTGCCGCGGTATAACTCGCTCCAATATACACGACAAAAAGAGTGCCTTCCAGTCCGACAGAAGCACTTCTGATCAAATATTTGCCCTACGCCTGATTGTTGAGATATCGTGGGAATTCACCAATTCCCTTCATCGTCAATCTATGGTCAGATCCTGCGCAACAATCTATGAGTATGCCTGCAAACATATGAGATCGATGGCCAGTTGCTACGGATCATCCAATCACGATATGTTCATATCAGGGGCTACGTCACAGTAAATGACATTGGCACTGATTTTCGTTAAGGCTGCGTTCTGTCTTCTCTCATGTTTGTCCTGCACATAGATAGAACAGTGAAACGCAACCAGGGTGATGAATGTTCCTTGTATATTGACATCTGAAATGATCTCTAGCGCTCTGTGGAAAGGATCGTAGTCCAGTGCCATGACATGGCCGTCACGCATGTGACCAAACCGAAAAGCCTACTACCTTCCCGTTCTACTGCCCGTTGCTCTCTTCAGATAAATGGAGATACAGTGGGGTATGTAAAGAAGTTCAATTTCCTCTGGGTCGAGCTTACTGGTGATGGAGAATTTGAGGAAGAGATCCACACCGAAATGGAGTGACCAATCGCGTTCTTCGTGAACTATCCTGAACCATCGTGACTAAAGCAGATCGGAGTCTAGAGATTGCGCTCTCGGTGTTCAAGTTGATCTTCACTCCCATGCTTACCGATGGTCATGAGTCATCATCATAACGGACTATGACTGAAAAACTTCGATTATGTGTACAAACGATTGAAATATGCATTCTGGTCGCTGGGTTGACGCATTTCGAAATGGTTCAAATATCCCCGATCCGCTTGGCCGTACAACCGCTGCTTCATCAGATTTGGAAGTCACAGCTGGAGTTGTTTGGGAACGTCTTGAGAATGTCTCTGGAAAGAAAGATGAAACAGCTACTGCTTGCCATGCCTGCCGGCAGAAGACCCAAGGAACAGCCTAAATTAACTTGAGTCAAGAGTCTATTGAAGAACAAAACGTTCGCACAGAGTCGGTAACGTTGGAAGCATGGTCTGATGCGTCTGCCTCTGTTACCCGAAAGGCAAGTCGGCCAAGGAAATCGAATTGAATTAAATTGAGATTTATGACGAATGTAACACCTGATTCTTCACTTTGCGTTTGTAATAGATGTAACATTGTCTTCCGGAAAACGACGCATGATGAACTGTTAAATATTTTGACTGCAGGACTCATGAAAACCTACAATAGTTAGTCGCCGATAGCTCCCGAAGACAAAGACAGCGATGACGGATTATGAATAGCAGTCGATTAAGCCGTTCTTTCCGAAAAAAATCAGCCCATAACCAGTGTTCAGCTTAAATTGAGAGAAATATATGGTGGAAGGTTGGGATAAACAGCATATCCATAAAAAATCTACATTTCTGCGTAACTCCGAAGAATAATGTTAAAAAATATGAATTCATTGCGGAATTTTAATCAGCATTGCTAAGGCTATCTGCATGCACCCAATCAGTCGTTCATAGCAAACTGTCAAGGCAATCGTTTACTGAATTTCTTGCAAGCAAGGCTAAAATGCTTTTGAGGATGGTAGCCTAAAGAAAGATTTGAAAATTGTACAATAGATCTCCTATCAACGTCGCATCCGACGCCAATTCTGTACGAATATTTAAATGTAATTATGCTTGGACCAGACAATGGATTTAGGCTTCTTAAAAAATTAGTGAACTTTTCGGAAAGAACTTTAGCTGGAAGGTTGTACGGCTTGGCTCATGAAGAACAATAAAAACTGTGGATCAAGATTTTTACTTGCATTCGACTGCAATTTCCGAAACATTCTCTTTCCCCTACGTTGTTCTGGCTATCTCCAACGTCATTATCACGACATGATGCACTAAAGAATAGAAGGATTTGCTCGTGCTGCTCGTTGATGTAGTAATAATTTTTTATGTAATCAAGTAATACCAGCAAATAGACGACCGAGTGAATACACTTTTCTGAATGCAGAAAAGCCGCTGTGCGGTCGTAAGAAAAACTTTGACTATTAGTAAGAAGTTGTTGTATAATGGTGCAGAGTTCCATCCCAAACTCATACAGCAAACGACAGACTTTAGTAGAAGAAGTGAACAAGTGTCTGAACGAAGGAACGAATGAATGAAGAACGGAAATGAAGTAATTAATCAATTAATGAAAACAAAGGAAGGAACGAATAAATATTCCACAAATCAATGAGTAAACGAACGAATCGTCTCATTAATAATTAATTAAACAACGAATAAATGGATGAATTAATAAGTAAGTGCATCAGCGACAAAACGGATAGGGAATGAAAGAAGAAAGATTCGAGGAATGAATGAACGAAGTTCTCTTGAAAAGGGTTTTCGATACTGGGCGAATAGTGCATAATCAGAGCAGTGATGCATTGTTAGAAAACTCAAATGTTTTGGGTCAGTAGTACAATGACTTAGAAACCCCCTTTGATCCTGACAACGACAAAGTTTACCTCGAGCTAACTCCATTGAGAAAGGAATTCATCCAACGTTGTTTCGGTGCTACAGGCAGAGAAACGGGTAGCAAGTCGCTAACTTGCT